TGCCAGACCAGCCTGTGTCCAAGTGGCGCTCAGGCTTTGGGGTTCCCTCTTTCTTCTTATGTAGGTCACAAAAAGGGCTGTTTCCTGCATCTGGCCTTGGGGTGATACATCCATATACCACACAGCTATTGCTGCGTGTGCCTCTTACTACAATATGAATACTGATACAATTGATTTCTTTCATAAATCATTGTTTTCTAAAAAAGTATTCTATTTTTCTACGCTATGGTATAACTGATCTAGCCTGATGGGGTTAAGATTCAGACTCATCCATCCATCCATTCATTTTCTTCTCCTTAATCCATTTTTGGGTCGGGGGAGTGGTGAGTCCACAAGAGCCTTGGTCTTTCAGCGGGGGCTTCAGGTAAAGTTGGGTTAAGTGTGTTGCCCAAGGACACAACAACAGCAGACATCAGTGGGAGTCGTGAAGTAGGTCTTTTGGTGGGCTCGAACCTACTACTTTCAGGCTCAAAGGCCAATGCTCTACCAACTGAGCCACTCTTGCCCAGATTCAGATTCAGACTACTTTATTTAACCCACCAAGGGCAATTCATTTGAGCAGCACATAAAAAAAATACAAAAAATAATAAATAACATAAAAACACAGGAAATAAGTGATATGACATGAAGTGGACTCCCATACAAACATACAAACATAAAACAAACAATAAATCTCAAACATCAAAGTCCACATCACCACCGCGCTACAGAGAGCAGTCTATTAGCGGTTGCGACAAAACATTTATGACAATGGGTTTACAATATGGTGAAAACATAACGTCGTCCTGATGGAAGCAAAGGGAACTCATATTATTCATAGCCCATCCACATTTTTGTCTCCCTTTGGCTAAGATGGTTTTACTGTCATTTTATCAAAGACCAACAAATACTGTGTTACTTGCCCCCCTGAGACAATACTTTGTGGAACCACTCCACTCTAATATGGAAAACCCCAAAGTCTTTGTACCAGCGTTGTACATCCAGAGATTTACATTTGTTCCCATTTTATTCTGCAAAACACCTCAAGCTCCTGCACATACGATGGAGAGAGTTTGTGCTCAGCAGTTTTTAGATATTTCCACAGATTCTCAATTTGATTTATGTCTGGTCTTAAAGATCACACTAACCCATGATTATGTTTTAAACTATTCTTTTGTCTGAAATGTGTTTATATTGAAGGAAATTGTCCTGGTTGAAAGTTGGAGTCAGTCTTTGGCTGACTCCAACAGATTTAATAATTCCTTATGCTCCATCCACCTTCCCATCCACTCTGACACTTCCTGTCCCTGCTGCAGAAAAGCATCTCCACAGCATGATGCTACCACTACCAGGCCTGACAGTAACTCGAGTGACCAGCAGTGTTCGTTTTACACCACTCAAAGTATTTTTCATTTATGGATGATGGATGAAACTGTGCTCCTGGAGATGTTCAAAGCTTGATCAATCTCTGTACAACTTAACTGCCTTAATTGTTCCCTCAATTTCATCCCTGACCTCTGGGGGGTTCCTTGGATGTCATGATGCTGTTGAGTGACCACTGATCTCTTAACAAACCTTGACGGCCTCACGCTGTTTTGCAAGTTGAAATCACACAAGAATGTGATTGACATTCTGTATGATAATCCAAATATTGTTTAGAACACTTATTTTAAAAGTGTTTGGTTCTGGCTGGTCAGTATCTGAGGCCATGACATTGGGTTATTTTAAACTTTGTATCAGTTGTTAGGTCGACATTTGAGCATTCATCATCAAGTTTCCAATATATATTTTATCCTTCTTATTCCATGGAATAAGGCAAAAGACATCCACAGAAAACAAAAAAGTAAAGCAAAAATAAAAAATAGAAAGACAAAGGCACTCAAAAAGGATATCATTATAATTCCCAGAAAGTATACTTTGCTTTTGGTCTGATATTGAAAATGAAAATAATGATATCAAAATAAAATACATATAGATACAGAAAAAGTCACAAAGTTATGACAATATTTGATAATGTATAAATCATTAATTACGCTTCCAAAATTAAAATCCGTCAAATTGACTGCTCTGGGAGTTCTAGTGTTAATATTAAGAGAATATTATTTAAAAACCAAAAAAATCAACAGCAGGAAAAGGTTGCCTTGGACAGTTGGTCAGAATGCCTCTTCATCTGAACATGCATCTCAACACTCACTAAATCAGCCTGAAGGTCCACTGGAAATGAAACTTTAAATTCATGGCTTTGTGGAAGAGGTTCATAGACACTGGGCCGCTGAGTCTGCACACGGGCCAAGAGTGTCAACAAAGACCAATATTTATGTTCACATGTCAAAAACAAATTATGTCCTTTCTTTTTTCACTTATGGAAAAGGGATGGTTTAAGCAGCACAGTAATCCTGAGTTCACCTTTTGTCCCACATGTCTCTTCTCAACAGTCATCTCATGCATAAGTACTTCATTAGGAATGTAAGGATGATTTTTTACTGTTTTTTCTTAATTTTGTTATTTTTTCATCAACTGTAGCTCATGGCATTTCTAGAATAGATGAAACTTGGGAGTGCTCACTGGATCTGCACACTCTATGCCCGCAACATTAATCAAAGCAACTGCCACAGCCATTAGTCCACTAATAACTACAATCATAAATAAGTTACAACATACAGGCCAGGTCCCCCCCTAGCCCTCAAACCTGCCACCATCCACCCTCATCTGTATCCTCACTGGACCCGGATAAACTGGCCATACCGACCCAATTCCAACCTATCATTTTTATCCAAGGTTCTGGAGAAAGTCAATCTGATTTTCAGTCATCCCATATAGGACAGAGAGAGTCTTGGTGTAATGTTATTTTATGTTTTATTTTTTGTTGTGTGAAATACTATGCAAGCTACTGTGACAACACAATTTACCTTATGGATCAAAAAAAGTCTGTCCAAGTCTAAATGATCAACCTGCTTGTGAACGTGGACCAGGGCTCACCATCTCTCCTTATACTACTGGACCTATCAGCTGCTTTTGACACAGTGGACCATAACCTCCAGGCTGTGGTTGGACTCTATGGCACAACACTATCTCACTGGGAGGCAGGAGCATGAGGCGTTAGGGCATGCAAAATTACCCCACACAGTGTCACCTGTGGTTCTGGGCCCAGTCCTGTTCACCATCTATGCTCCCCCGAGGTAGCATCATATGGAACTACTAACTGTCCTTCCACTGCTACAATAATGTAATCTTCCTCCTCACTTTTCTGTCTGCGCTCCACTCTTGTCTGGAGGAGATACAAGCATGGATGTCTGACAACTTCTCTCCTTTCACCACCATATCCATCACCTCTCTAAAGACTCCTTCCGCCATCTAAACAGTGCAAAACTCTGCCAATCCCTTTCTCAACCTGTTGCAGAAAAACTGGTCTATGCCTTTGTCTACTCGTTGGGATCCTGGACAAGAGGCTGCAAAAGCTCCAGCGTATCCAGAAGTGCGGCCCAGGTCTTGGCGAGGAGGCGCAAATACGACCACATAAACCCTGTCCCCTGCTCCCTCCACTGGCTGCCCATCCACTACAGAAGCCAATACAAACTAAATAAACCAAAAGATCACCACATCCTACAATTCTTCCATCAGCATTTATGTCCTAAACCAAAACATGTTTTTAGAACATTTTATCATTGTCAATGGCAATCTAAAATTACTCAATGTGCCAACAAAGCATATATGTATTATATTCTGTATATTCCAGTTGTAGTATACAGTATTAGTGTACATAAATTCTTCATTATGACAGGACTCATTGTCTGTCTGTTCTCCCTGGAGGTTCACTCCAGGCTTCCTCTGTGTTTTCCTCATCCTCACATGGATCTAAGAACAGTGGTTGTTCTGCATGATGTCAAATAAAAGATGGATGCCATATGTGCATATAGATTTTGTATAGTTTTCTGTACAGTTACAGGAGATTGTAACAATAATATGTGTGGATTCTATCATGTATTTTATGTTCAAAATGACAAGTGATGCAGAGATCCAGAAGCGTGTCTCAGAAGAAGACACAAATGTTTATTGGTTGTAGAGACACCATACAATAAAAGCTTTCACAGTATTTTGATCTTTCTATACCCAGAAAGGTTCCCATGAAGCATATAAAGGCAAAATGCTTCAACCTCCAGATAACCATAATATAGAGTGGAATACAGTGAGTCCTTAGGGTCAAGGGAAAGGTACATCTGCAGACTGCTGTAAAGTAGTAATATAATAATAGTATCAAAAGGATAGATTATATTCAGTGGGGGTAAAAAAACCTTTGCAACTATACCCAGGTACAGAAAACGTAATACCTGAATTCAAATGTATTTTGTCATGTGTATCCAGGACATTTGAATATTGAAAACCTTTCGAAATGATAAATTATGAAGCACTGTTTCCCTGATCGACATATTTAGAGATTGTTCCTAAATATAATTTAACTTTCACTCGTATAATGTGTCATCTTTGGACGTATTGTCACAGTTGTATAATAGGGGTTAGGCAGTAGAAGTCTCGACTTCAGCCTAAATCCCTTTCGATCAGGCATTATTTAGCTCTAAAATAGACACATTTTAGTATTTTCGTTTTTTTTTGTCTTGAGAGCGAATGTACATAATGGCAGAAGAAAATAAACTACTACTACTACTTTACTTTGAATCATGAGGTGATGGGCAGAGAGGCCAAAAAGTGCTCTGATAATTGATTCCACTTGCAGATTAATTTAGCCCATTCAATAGATAGAATATAGTGAAGAACACGTTATTACAGTTGTAACTACCGCACATTTTCACACCAAAAGTGCTCCAAAGTGCTGCACAGACACAAAAGCAACAGTATCAAATGTATAAGTCTGGCAGCTTTATGTATTTAACTAAAACGTTAAGACACAATGAAGAACTATTAAAATGAATAAAACAATTAAAAAAAACGTTTGGAGTGGGTCAATATTCTGAATAAAATACAATTTGGAATAAAATGAAAATTATTCAAAATGATGATTCTAACTAGTGTGCGCGGATGCCTTTCCCTTCCCAAAAAGTGCTGCTGCTCAACCTCTCCCCCTCTCCTCCCTCCTCCCCTCTCTCCCCGTGTCCACTGTGACTGTACACGCCACAAAGAGCTGCTTGTGCCTCCGCTACTGTCTGCATCAGAAATGCCTTGGCCCGCGCCGCAGCTGCTGGAGACGTCATGGATTCCTGAGTGTGGGGCTCCGCAGGAAAGCCCTGAGTCTCCAGCGTGGACCGGGGCCAGGTTTCCATGGCGAAGGCGCACAAACAGGAGGCAACACAGAGGGAATCCCGTTATTTTACAGCATTATAAACACAGAGAGCGAGAGGAGAGCGCTCACTCCTGCAGCCGCGGAGCCAACCCAGATAGCAAAAGGACATCGTTTCAACATTTAAATAGTGTTATGGCCTGTGATTGAATAGATGTTGAAAAATGACGTTGAACTGCGATTGAAAGCGCTCGATATGATAGATGTCGAACACAACGTTGATTTTTGATCTTTTCTGACATGGAATCAATGTCATGCAAATAACATTGATTAGGAGTTGAATAGATGTCGAAATTCAAATGTTTTTTCAACATGGATTCAACATTGATTAAACGATTGAAATATGCCTATATTCAACCTTTTTTAAACTATATTTTGATTATTGGATTTACTTACCGCGTCACCACCTAAATCAACCACTAAACATTCACCGCGGTCATCATGTCGAGTCATTTACACAGGCATAACCAGTCCAATATGGATCTGAGGCATAATCCATCTCCTCCTGTTGTTTGTTTACATTACGCATCCATATAGCACTCAGAATGACAAGTTTACCAAGGTATTTACATTACAAAATTTTACTGCGCATGCCCCATTTAAATCGTTATTTGGTGCCTATAGCGTGACAGTGCCTCCTGCAGTCCCAAGACAGGTATTACAGCATAAGTTACATCTTTTTTGTTTTTTTGCATTACGAAACACGTACAGCCCAGCACTTCAGCACTTTTGCTTCCATGAATAAATATAGTAAAAAAAACAATAACCTGCCTCCATGAAGAATGTACAGTAAATTAAAAACAAACAAACAAAAAGCATTTGGAGCAGAAGCACATGAGACATGGAGAAGAGACAGGAGATTGAGTTTTGACCAAATACCACAAAAATAAATAGAAAACCCATTGCTTATGGTGATATATTGGGGTAGGTTTTAAGTGTAAAACTATAAAAGTAAAATAAATAAATACATATCTCCCCAGGATCCAGTCAAGAATGTATGAATTATAGGCAAGTCAATGTTAATTTATACTGCATTTCAAACACAAGGTTACTCAATGCGAATATATATTCCCTCAATTTGTTGCCAACACAATGTAACCACTGTATAATACTTTGTTTCATAAAAGTACTTATTTACAGGGCCATCATAATTAAGGCTATCCAGGTAATTGTAGTGTAGCAATAAAACGTTTGTAGAAGTGGTGCAGATTTGGTTAGTGTCACGAGGAACACTGGTACACAGCATCATTTTCAATATTTAACGGAATTATACACAACGAGCAATTTGTGCCAAAAAATGTGTTCAATTTCATTCAAAACTGGAGTTCAGTGTGTTTTGGAGCTTATTTTTTTGTATTTTCAATGAATATTTGCAGTAACACAGTTATATAACATCACTATTTTCAAAGATATGTACAATTAATGCCTGTTGGAATACATTTTAATGCGTTTTAATTACATTTAAGGCCTTTATTTCACAATTCATTCAATAATAAATAAATGACCCTAACAAATTGATATATTGCCAGACAGTAGTGCATTTCTTTAAAAAAAAGAAAGAAAGAACAGAACAGATCATTTTAGAACACACAATATGAAGACATCCTAATTGCATTTGAGATGGTGCTGTAAAAATTGCATTACTTGATTGCTTTGTTGTTCGTGATATCAACTTGGGACTTCTGTAAAAGAGAAATGGAAATCATTATTAAAGCTTTTAGATTTGGATTTAATGCTTTTTGATTTTTCTGTCTGACAGTGAATGACTAGTACAAATGAAGTGTATGTGAAATGCTGTATTTACTCACAAATAAATATTTAATTGGCATTACCCCTTGTGTCTTACCATGACATTTTTTTTATTTTACATTATAGGCTATTCAACTTTAACCTTATAAATCGCAGTGTGCTAATCATAGATCGTGGCTTTACCGAAGTGCTTTAGCCCCCTCTATTGTGTGGGGAAAGTTATTGTTAAACTAAGCAGCGAATTATTAACTACCTAATAAAACCCATTTGCATAACACAACCTTAATACCATCCTTGTTCCCTTATCAACCGGGTGCTGAGGAATTGTAAGCAGCTAAAAACAGCCCCTTAAACTGAGCTTTTTTGGTGGCAAAGTTTAACGTTAGCTTGGCATAATGTTGGTTACACATCAGCTTCTGACAAACTACTAAGAAAATAGCATAACATAGCCTAAAGCAACACCTTACATTCTATTTATTAGCTCACTGATCACACCCAAGACGATGATTTAAGTTTAGAAGCGATGAGCACTTACCAGTTCTGACTTTCTCCGTCTCCGTCTCCGAGATGCAGGGGCGCTGTACACTTAACTAAAATCTCCCGGGCTTGTAGTCCTTATATCGAAACAACATTGATTTATTGGGAATTTTTCAACCAAAAAAAATATACAACCGATTTTTAACAGTGATTCAATGTTACACTTTTAATGGTTAAATTTCCATCTGTAAAATAAGGTTGATTCAATGTTACACTTTCAATAGTTAAATTTCCATCTGTAAAATAAGGTTGATTCAATGTTACACTTTTAATGGTTAAATTTCCATCTGTAAAATAAGGTTGATTCAATGTTACACTTTTAATGGTTAAATTTCCATCTGTAAAATAAGGTTGATTCAATGTTACACTTTTAATGGTTAAATTTCCATCTGTAAAATAAGGTTGATTCAATGTTACACTTTTAATGGTTAAATTTCCATCTGTAAAATAAGGTTGATTCAATGTTACACTTTCAATGGTTAAATTTCCATCTGTAAAATAAGGTTGATTCAATGTTACACTTTCAATGGTTGAACTTATGTCCATAAAATAGTGTTGATTCAACATTCTTTTTTTAATTATTGATTTATTATCTGTAATAAAACATTGAATCAACATTTTTCTTTCAACCTCAACCAAAAGTCAACCATCTGACCCTAAATCAATGTTGAAACGATGTCCTTTTGCTATCTGGGAAAGACCTTTACGCGCGACCACTACGGCTTCTCCTTCAACATTCAACCAACAACACATGTTCAAACTCTTTCTAAAGGACTTCCATATTGTCGTATTTTTGATTTGTATTCATTTTTACGCTTGAGAACTACAGCAGCCTCGTTCAACATTCAACAAGCAATTTATTTATCAGCTTTATTTTGTGTTTTGATTTTTACGCATGACAACTGTACCGACACATTTTCAACATTCCAACAGCGATTCATTTGCCGCTTTTCAAACCCAAGGACATCTAAAGGACATTAATTTGTCATATTTCCCCGTTTTGTATCGTTTTTTTTGCTGATTTTCCCTCCTCCAGATGTTCAGAGAAACTTGGAGACTGGCGCAGTACCACGCCATGAGGTCAATGGATCAAGGTACAGCTTCAGTGTTGTGTCTCTGGTAACTAACACATTTGATTTATTCATTCACTTTTGGATTCTTTTTCTCAGTATAACGTTGTTTCATGCGCACCAAAAAAATTAATATAATCTGTGGATGTTATTGATTGGTTATGCTAATGTTTAACTGGAAGTATTGTGTATTCATAATCCAGATTATTTACACTGAATTTCATGGTGTATTTGGCATTTCAATATAAATCATACACAAATTCGATTTTGGTATGCATGTAAATGTAAATTATCATATGAATAGTGATGTTGTTGTTTATAAATAATGCCAATAGGATGATGACTGATTGTATGTATTTGTTATTGAAAATGAATGTGCGGAAATGAAACAAAATTAGTCTTATCTTTCAAACCTATATTGGATTTGATAAGTGTTGAATAAATAGTGTTGTATATTCAGGTGCAATGCCTTTCCACTCTGGCCACGTGTTCATGTTGCTTTTGGAGTTGTGGAACCCCTTTGGGACTCCCACCTGCACTGTCAAAACACACACGCAGGAGAGCACTCAACTCAAAAGAAATTCATTATTGAGATTATGTTAATAATAGTGTCTGTATCTATCTATAAATCTATCTGTCAGCCCCTGCTTAGCAAATAGACTATTATTAAGCTTACACCAGGACATGCCACCACGCCCAAATTCATTCGTTGGGAGATTTAACACTTTCTCTGCAGCTGTCAAAACTCGCCCCATCATCGAGAATACCATATGTATAATGTACAGGCAGGAGTGGCAATACTCATGCTATATTTACTATGGAGTTTTTGTCTCCTTTTTCAGTAGATTTTGAAAGAAATAGTTCATCTTTATCAAATACAGCATCATTCATCCATTGCTTATCATTGCTTATTTCTAAACCCAGAATCTTAAATCATAATGATGCCGTGCTTGGACTGATTGGACATATCTGAAAAATGTGCAGTTTGCTATTTAAAACAACTTTGTAATGACCCAAATCCATAAAAAAAAATGTTTGCTGATATTGCTATAAAAGGTAATAACTAAGGCCTACTTAAAATTGCCATAGAGTAACTAATTTTTGTTACCGTAAAAGTACATTGAGTACATGTTTGCATAACTCTTTCCGTCACTGTCTATAAAACTAATCAGTCATTCCAAAAAATCAGAAAAACATCCTGTTGAAGTCGTCACTACTCGAGTCTAACGCATGGTGGCAGCACTGCACCAGTCTGCTGCTTGCATCCATCATGAATATCACAAACAATGCAACATCCATCAAAAGTACCTGTCAATAATGATTAAAGCAAGGATCAATGCAAAAGGCAATACTTAAACGCATAAGTATAAGAAAGAAAAATGAAGAAAAAAGTATTTGAGATGATAACAATCCAGGTGATGACGCTTAATTTTGAATTGTCATGATGTGCAGGAGAATATGGATTGGTCTGTTGCACGGGATCATTGATAACAACAGAAACACAGTGTTAATGCTCAGACGTACATTTAGCGTAGACAATATAATCAGAGAGAAACAGGAATGTGTATGTGGGACATACAGTAGAAGAACTGCTGCATCTATCTTCCATCATTTGCTTCCGCTTTATCCGTTGCCGGATCACGGAACAAAACGTGGAAAAGTATATTTAGTTGAGAAGCAATAGATTATTGTTTGTTTTCTGTGCAGAGGATTCCAGGTGCGCATCTTTGGTAATGAAACAGATATTTGAGAATTGGCTGGAACTACATTATCTTTACAAGTACTGGTTTGAAAATATACTCAAAGTACTATTGCTATAACAAAAATCGATTATGCAGGAGTAGTCTGTTTATTTATAATCAATTACCCCGTACTATAATTTTTCTTATCTTGTTTTTTTCCTGAGCGCGCACCAAACTCACACTTCGCGTGAGACGTGGACACGCCTTCGTGTGTGACAGCTCAAACAGGAAACCCCCGCTGTGCACTGATGCATCTTCTGCACAGAAATCATAAATACACAGCAGCTTTTGTCGCGCGCAAAAAAGGCAAAAGAAAGTGCAATAAATGAGCGCGTTTTACGAGCACAAAGACTTGGAGGAGGACTTGAGCGGCGCCAATTGTCCTGAGGATGATTTCCAGTTCGAGGACTTGTTTGAGTATGAGGCACCTGGCAGCGACACGGCGCAGAGGCACCAAGGTTTGGCCTGCGACATTTGACGCAATAAACTCTTTGAGACTTATTTACTCACGTGGCTTCAGTGCATTTGGGTGCGACATAGAAACATAGATGGTGTTCTCTTCTAAAGTTGAAATGCATGCATACATCAAAAGGGAACAGGTGGACTGATGCACAGACTGCTGTAGAACAAATGTTAAAATCCATAGACAACAACAACAAACGTATTTATTTAATACCAAATAATAGTTTCACATCAAATTATGTTTTTGTTGGCATTTTAGATGACTTTATTGCACTAATAGTAGGCTATATCATTAGGTGTCATGCATGAGCTTGCGTCTCTTTACACTTTATTGGAGACTGATCGACTGGTGTATGGTAATTATGGGTTTAACTGCATTCTAAAAGCATAGGGAACAAATAGGGAATCATGGCATGAAAACCCAAAAAGCTCTTCACCTTAAAGAAAACCATGTGTCTAGATAATAGCACTGTAATGAATGATTATGGATGATTTTGGGCTTATTAAAATAATATTGGTGTCACTCAAGAACACCTCATAGACCACCACCATCGGTTGTTTATAGACTGATATGTTTACTTATTTTCACTGTACTCTGCAGTAATTACAGATTTGTTCATAAAACTGAAATCTCTGTGTTGTTCAGAAAATGATGACTCAATACAAGAATCAGTTGATTATGATATAAATATTTCATGAGTTGCACTTAATCAATTAACTTGTTACATTCCTTTTAGAATATGAAAATGTATATGCAGTGGTGATTATTTCTAATATTCAACCTGATTGGTCAATAGTTGAATCCTCACTCAGAACATTGTTGTCAGACAAGAAAAGGCCAAAAGTTGAGTTGTACCTGATCAGATGCTATGTAAATGTCATATTTGAATCGTATTCTGACAGAATTTTAAACAAGCGACCACATGAAGGAAACAAACGCACATGTATGAGAATAAGCTCACTGATTGCTTAATATTATTCATCGCAATGACTTAATAAGAGCTCAACCTTTCTCAACTGTAGAGACTACAAAAGCAGCACACTTCCTGTTTCTTAGAGGGAATTTTGCACAATTGAATCAGATGGATACAATTACTGATCTCTTTATACCATTAACAATTACTCTTAGAACATATCGACATTGAGACAAAGCAGACATGGAACCAAATCAGGTGCAGGTTCTGGAGCACACATTTAAAAGTCATTTAGTTAGTTTTGTCTTTGTCTTTCCAGATGACCCAAACCTCAGCACTCACAAAGTCCTCAGCCCAGACTCGGATCATTCCTTTCCACTGGAAGAACCATCTCATTATCACCACAAGCCCTACAGCCCGCCCTACAGTGCCGACCCTAGAGGTGGGCTATAGATCACTTTTGGAGTTCCCTATTTTAATATAGTGCATTATTTACAGTCACAACAAACAGAGCATACGACAATAACACTCTTTAATAAATAGTATGAAAGTAACAATGGGTCAAATGCAGAAGCCACATTTTCCTTTGGGTACAATAAAGTTTAACCCTAAACTTTCCAACATGGTGTTTTTTTTTTGTGTGTAAATGTGTGTGTTTCTGCTGCTACTGGAACCTGAATTTCTCCTACGAGGATCAATAAAGTATCTATCTATCTATCTGTGATTTTGCAGATCAAATCCCGGCATTTGTGTTGTTAGATTTGTAATGCAAATATTGGCCCTCTGTATAATCATTTACAATATAAAAATTGGATTTCTGGATTATTTTAACCCTATATTAGCACCAATTATTCCCCAAAATTGGATGTGAAACAGACAGCTGCAGTCCTGAAACATTATGAGAGATGAAGTACTACTAAACAACAAAACAGAAAAATGTAGGGACATGTTTGTGGGAAGCAATGTCACTGTATAGAAAGTGTCCTGGATCCAAGAGCTCATGTAGTGCAGTTATGTTCCAGTAATTTCAGTTATTTTTGACTAGTTCAGTTCTATGTACTTTATAAACATAGATGTTGAATATTTGTGGAAAGATTGCCTATTATCATCTGATTTTTTTAAAATAATAAACAAATTGTGATAATTTTTTTGTTCCATCCGTAGGTGACGTATTACCTGTGTTCGAGCATCCAGAGCCCAGGGGGGGATACCATCTGGCCCTCAGCCCCCGCATCGAGATCACCCCATCCAGGGAGCACTTCCAGCATGACTCCCTTCACAACCACCACCAGAATCTCAGCCCCAGACCCACGCTCACAGTTCCAGGCCACGAAAACCTGTCCTACCGTGAGCCGCAGTGCCTAAGCCCAGCCAGCAGCAACTCGTCCACCTCCTGGCATTCGGAGAGCTATTCTCCCTGGGCGTCTCCGTGTGTTTCCCCCAGTAACAGCGCTCACAACACGGGGGATCTGTGCCCGCGCTTCCAGAACATCCACACTGGATCTCCCCGCACCTCCCCAGGCACCTCTCCACGCACCAGTCTGACGGAGGAGGGCTGTGTGGGGCCGCGGTCGCCCTCACCCAGGGCAGGGTCCCGCTCCACATCTCCGCAAGGGAAGCGCACCTACGATATGTACCGCAATTCAGGTATGAAGGGGTGGTGTGAAAAGATGTTTTTTGTACATTTGGTAGATTGCATCGGTTTCTCGACTTGTCTGGGTTTAGTTTTAATTCCCCCATCGACCTTAAAAGATAAGGAAAAACATCCTCAGGTCCTGATCTAGACAAGCTTTTGAAGATGAGTTCCCCATATCTATGACCCTGGCAGTGGTATTGATGAATGGGTCACATGTAGTGGATGCATTTACCAAAAGGAACTGTGTTTAGCCTAGCCTTCAATCTGTGCCCATGTTTAGAATAGAATAGAATTCATCTCAATATAGTTCCTTGCTCTCTCTATCAATGTTTTTAACATTAATGTTACAATTTAATATAAACATGTTTTTCATTAGCTTTGATGTTGTTCTTGACCCAGTTTTTTTAAATGAAAAAGAGAGGACCACTCTTCTTCTGCCAATCAGTTCTCAGCCCATTGCATCAAAGAGTGACTCACATGGCTCTTTCTTGCAAGATAAAATGTTTTCTAGTAAGATAAAGACACACTTTTTCTTTACAAGACTCTTTTGGCTGTGTCAAACAAAAGGTATTATTCATAAAAAGTAGTTGGGCACCCCATCTTTAATTCATATTATGAACAAGTTTTACTTCCTCCATTGTTCTCGTGCCAAACATTGTCTGAAGTTGTTTGTCCCTATTTGCGCACTTCCTATGACATACTTGTGTTATATCACTTCACAAATACTTTGCTTAATGACTTTCTGCACAGGTTTGCTCCCAGGCCACCGCTCCAGAAGCCCCTCCCCTCACGGGCGTCACGACGACCAGGGCATTGGCGCGCACTTCCCCGGCCTCGGTGACTCCATGAATGGGTACAGTGCAGGGCCTGGTCTCATGCCCACCAAGATCGTCAAAACTGCCAACCAGCTTTACACGCTGTACCCAGAGAACAACGGCGAGGCCAACTACCTGATGTCATGTGACCAGGAGCTGAAGTCCAAGACCCCTGCGGAGCCATTCTTCGTCATTCCACAGATCTGGTCCAAACCCCTGGTGTCAGGATTCTGCGGGTGACAATTTGCTTTTTTCTTGAGTTCAGTGCATGGACTGTTTATAGATGCTAACCCCATACCTGATGACTTCTAATAGGAATGTGCTCATGGAGGAAGATTTGTTCCTACTGGCACTGGCTCCAATGGACTTTGACCGTTTGTGTCCTGCTCTCAATTTTGGGCTTTAAAATCCAGATATTATAAATCCAGATATGAGCCCTAACAACTATAGGGCTATAGGAGTCCTAAATCAGGAGCCTTCTTTTGACAAATTCAGCTTTAGCTAGTGAGTAGGCTGATGAAGGACTGGATGTGCTCCTGATTGTTCTGCCGTTGCTGCCAACAACATTTGCATACATTTGACCAAACACCCTGTATCTATTCATATAACTTCCTTAAAAAGTGACTCAAAAACCTATAACCATCTCCTTCATAAAATAAATAAATTCATTTGAATATGTTGTTTTGCAGCCTCCCTGTGTCATCCCTGCCGCCTCTGGAGTGGCCTCTCCCGTCCCGCACAGATCAGTATGAGCTCCACATAGAGGTGCAGCCGCGGCCACATCACCGCGCTCACTATGAGACGGAGGGCAGCAGAGGAGCGGTGAAGGCCCCGACCGGAGGGCACCCCGTGGTCCAGGTGAGGCTCCGGCAGCTACCTGCATGTTCACAACAATCACACTTATGTCACGCTGATCGGACTCATAATCCCAGATAAATATATATAAAGTTGTCAATAACGTGTTTCTGTGATAACATCACCGCGATCGGCAGAAACACGTGCTTATGTCCCTGATCCACGTGTTTCACTCAATAAACTACGCAGGCAGGAACGGCACGAGGAGGTCCTAATATGTCCACATCATCACGTCTTCCCCCATGTCAGTTATCTGCTCTCCCTCTGATAGACGCGCCCCTTACCTTAAGAAGTACTGCTTTAGGCGCCAAAAGCAGAATTGCTTCATGAATACTGAATTCAGGACTTAAACATTTCATGTTTGATGAATAGTTGTTTATTCAGTTGTCTATCTCTTCTAAAGTTTCAGGGCTACACCTCTTTTGTTTGACACAACATTTCTGGAAAAACCCTGGCATTTAAAGAGTTAACATATTATGTTTTTACTCTATTTCATTTTTTATGGCCAAAACATACAATAATAATGTATACTATTTTGTTCTTTAAACTTTTACACATAAGATGAGGTTGATAGAAGTTTGTCATTTTCTTTTAATATATACCTTCACCTAGACTTTATAAAGCCAATCATTTCTCGCTGTTGAAATGCATTTAGACAAACTGCCTGAACTGGTTTTCATATTAATGCCAACCCGATCAATTGCTCAATTGATTAAATGATTTAATGAATATAGACAAATGCATGTGTTTGGAGACAGGACACACAGCCATTGTCCAAATGAAGAAGATAACACAGAGTTCAGGTTTGAAAGCAGCAGCTTTGCATAATATCATATTTCCAAACGTAGATTGCACAATTACATCATAATACTGGCTTGCGTGCTATGAATATAAGTATGAAAGGAAAAATAATAGAAAAAAGATCCAAACTCAAAATATGAACATGCAAATACTACTGTACACTTGGAGATATTCTCAGTTTTGACATATGTGACATTTGCATTTTACCATTTTACTTGTTTTACAGTAATTTAAGGCTTGATGTGACTGCACATTTAATTAACATGTTTATATCCAAGAATTTGCTAAGAAACAATAATAAAATACAGTATATGTCAAGTTTTTCGGGTATATGGTATTACTACTTCACATACTTGTGCAATGTGCTCCTATGTTGAATCCAGAAATTATTATTCCACAAATTGAATATAGGAATATACCGTACTTGTATTTAAATTGTCAAAAATTTTATTTTAATTGTTTCAAACTTGGGAAGGATTTCTGAGTCTCACAGTGTGATGTCATAATTTCTGGATCTCCTCTCAACTTCCTGTATTTTAAAGCCGGGAGTGCTAACCTTTTTGTTCATGAATAATAATAGTTGTTTGTCTCAACAACAAAAAAGTCCTGTTGAAGTGAAATGAACCAATCAGACCACAACATGCTGTCTTCAAATCAAATCAAATAAATTGTATTTGTATCACCCAAAATCACAACAACAGTCTCGAAAGGGCGTCACAGAACCGCCAACTCCCGGGAGTCAACTCCAACTCCAGGGAGTCAGGGTGTCGAGTCCCACCAGTGCGTTCATGAAACAGACAGAGGGACAACAGGTGAACAGGGATGCACAAACCAAATTTAAGAATTTAGGAAAAATTAACTGTTGGGAAAAAAAGTTTGGTGCATCAGACAGTCATTTAAAGTGCTTTCACAACAGTGCATTAAACACAGCTGTGTATGTACGGTGCATTAAAAACAATCTATTAGAAAATAATTTCCAGATAATTCTTAGTACGTATTTGACTCTTTGGGCTTAGAGCTGATTGGATGAGAGATAGTGGTCTACTCTCTGCCACTTTTCTGTCTGAAAATCTATAGATTTAAAGATGCTATAGATTATTATTTTTCTTACGAGCTGTTACAAACTTTATGGATCCTTCCACCAACAACTACAATCACCAGGTGTTAAACACACCTGATTCAGGCGGTGACTTTTACCACACAAACCTGTCACGTTTACTTCCTCTTTGTCAAACGTAATCTCTCATTGTAGGAAGCCGACTGTGACAACAATGTAAAACCTCTTATCTGCAGCTGTCATATGGAGTTAAAGAAGACATGGGGCAATCTATGACACATTTGGATCCTTTTCATGTATTTTGCAGCTTGAATGTAGAATAAAGATTACTGAGACAACTCACTACAACTTGGTGAGATAAAAATCAAAGCTAGCATACCTACATTGTGTTTGTCCCAACAGAAAGAGTCTTGTAACTGTCAAATGTTGTGAACAAATCATACAAAAACAAAAGATTAAAATAAGTGGGAAAGAGGGGGAAAAAAATGCATGGATGGAAAAACTATTGCGATAACTACTAGTAACTATTTTGATAGTTAGGTATGGATTTCATAACAGTTGCATTGTTTTGTGGATTGAAAGTATAAGGTTCCCCAGCTTTAACATGCCCTGACTCAGCTCTAATTTCTGAATGTAGTTTTTTAGCTTAGTCCTCCTCTCGTCCTGGTCCGGTCCCTGTTGAGTCCTGGTTTAGTCATATGTGGACTTTCATTTTAGGAAACTGACTAAGACACATTTACAAGCACAAGTCTGTCTGTCTGTGTAACTATTTAAAGTCATTAATGAAAACAGTTTAGGATCGCTCTCTCACTCTGACTCATTCAGACTAAAAATAAATGACTTGTGTTGCTGTGGAAATCTTGTAAACAAACGTGAAAAATAACACAATTTGACTTAAATACTTTGCGTTTGAGAAAACAGTGAACTTGATAAACTCAGAACTGAACGTTTTAGCCAGTTATTTAAAACACAGATAGTAGTTATGTAATTAAAGTGGATTACTACTAGTAGTTAAAAGTATTTGTACTAGGAATGGATGGCAAGGCATGGAGCGCTGACTCATTCTGGTCAGGCAAGATGAGATCCTGCTGCAGACTTGGTTTAGTGCACATCCTGGTTTCGTCTAGGTCTAGTCAGAGTTTGAACTTGTTTTGTCAGTGCTTTGACCTTGTTTTTTTCTTAACTACACTTAGGTTGCGTCTGTCCAAATCTTGATGTGGCCCTGGTTTTAGTCCCACTAGAGTGGGCTTAAAGTTTACTTACATCTAGATTACTTCTCTTTCAGTGAATTGTTTAGTCCTTGATTAAAAATAGTCTAATCTAGTGAAGTCTTTTCTCCGTCCTTCTTGAGTTCTAGGTTCCTTCATTGGTCTTGTTTAGTTGTGGAGTACATTACATTGTCTTTGCCTCTGATTATAGGATTAACTAAAGGCCCAGTTCAATATCAAATTGGTTTGTCCAAGTGTAATCTTGGGTTAACGTGTCTTGTCTTAGTTTAGTCGTTGTTTGGTTAATTAGTGAAGGTATGCTCTCGGTGTTCATCTGTAAAACATTACAAATCAACATTGGGCACAGGTCAGCCTGTACTCTCCACATACAAAGTATATTTAGTCCAAAGTGGTCCACTTCACACCCTTGTCAGTGCCTGCTAATTTAGTTATTTAGTCTGTTTGTTGTCTAGTCCTGGTCTAGTCCATTAGCCTCTTTATTGCTGGTCCTGTTTGGGACCTCACAGTCACAGCGCACATATCCGCTCATTACACTTCTGACTCACCTTTTCAGCCGTCACCATGACGATGGGTCCCGGCCAGTGCCCGTGTGCTTCCTGATTTTCACCCAATCGTGCGTCGGCTCTGTGGTTGCCATAGTTTGTGCGTACTCTGAGCCCAGTGAACTGCAGCCTCTGTTTTTACTGCGGGTCTATGAAAACAAGCACAGATGTCCAAAGATGCTACTGTACAGAGCGTGGTCAAAGAAATCATTATTGCACCTAAAAAGCTTCTATATTTAATTCTTACTTTTTGGTTTTCCATTTTAATGGAAAACCTGATGCAACTTAAAATGTATGTATTTTAGACTGCAGTTTTCACATAGCTAAGATGGCTTTAATTATTAACATTATGTTTGCCTATTTTTAACTTCTGACAATTATGTGTATATGTCCATGGATTCATAATTGTATGCCCCAGTACAACTACCTCTTCATGTGACACAAGAGGTAGTTTTCCAATTAACCACAAAATAAACAAAGGCTAAAGCTCAATTACACAATAATTATGAAGTGGCAAATAGAACTGTGAGAGAAAATTATCTTATTGAATTCAATTTTAATTAAACTTTTGATCATAAACTATAATTTTCCTGATTTTAAGCTATTACAATTATTTACTTCAAGTACCACAAGGCAAACCTAATTCTAAGCCAGACTTATTTAAGTTTAGTTTATTTAAGATTAAAGATAAGATCTAGTTCACACAAAGACAAGTAAAGCCCCCAAAAGTCTCTATGTAAATGTTTCTGCTGCTGCAGTCGTTGCCTTGTGGTTTCTGCAGATTTCCTCAAATGGAAACTTTACACTCACAGTTTCACCTTCACCTGCATTTGACTTATTTTAGGCTGCAGACAATATAACAAAATGCACTTCCTACAATATCAACCACATATTTTCTTACTGTATTGGTTAACAGAAAGTGAATGAAGAAAGAACTATAGCATCCATTTAATATTAGTTTCTTTCACTGCCTCTTCTTTGAGCAGAAACAGACTTTCCCCTATAAATAATACATGTTTTTGTCCCTTTTGCAAGAGTCTTTTAAAAGTAAAGTGCTGTGGTTTGAAAGTCGACTTGCATTACTTTCTGCTATGGTCCATTTATTGTATATAATGTTGGTTTTAATAAGAGTGTCCTGCTTGTGTTGCAGCTGCTCGGATACAGAGGCAAAGATCCTCTGTGTTTACAGATCTTCATTGGCACTGCTGATGAGCGCATCCTCAAACCTCACGCCTTTTACCAGGTCCACCGCATAACAGGCAAAACCGTGACCACCAGCAGCTACGAGAAAGTCCTGCATGGAACCAAGGTCCTGGAGATCCCCCTGGAGCCCAAGAACAATATGAAGGCCATGTGAGTCGTTTTTGAGCAATGTGCAGCGTAAATGTATAAAAGATTCAGCAAAGAGATGTTTCAAACCAGAAGTCCAAATAATGTTTAAAAATGAAGTAGAAAACAAAGAGGAATAGGTCTGAGGCACTCGGGCTTAACAAAAAAATCCTTTATTGTGGAAGGGACATTGCGACACGTTTCTTCATCAAAGCAAGTGGTCACAGGTGGTAATAATGAAAGCGGAAGATCACATGACAGTCACATGACTGATGGTAAAATTCTAGTAAAAACATAAATACAAGATCAATGTCATAATCCTGGATCCTCATAGAGCACTTGACCACTCACGTTTAACTTGTATATTTACTGTATGCACTCCTCTTTACTGATCAATATTTACGGGCTGGGCATCTTTAGGTGCAAGACACCAAATAAGAAATAAACTAAACTAAACTAAACTAAACTTTAAAAATGACTTGGGATGAAAGCTTTGTCCAGACGACAGAGTGTCTTCTGGACAAAGAAGACACTCTTATATAATATAAAATATATGGTATATAATATATATAACATATAATATATGTTATATAATATATGTTTACATAATTTTATCAAATTATATAATACAATCAGAACAGACACTTTAGAGGGAGAGGCTTCACATTGTAGTTTTTATTTTCAATTGGTTGTTTACCGGGTTAGGGTCTGGTATTGCTACATTGTAACTACTAATGCTACTAAATAGTTATATATTTCCCTGTTATTCTTTACATTACATTTATGAAGCTCTAAAAACATAAACTAAAATCATATATTGGTATTCTAAGCTATTAACAATTGATTTTTTTCATTCTGTTAATGTCACAGTAATAAGATCCTAGTTTTGTCCTTGGTCAGTCTGTTAAGTTTTTTATTTTTGTCGTGGCAGAATTGACTGTGCAGGGATCCTGAAACTGAGAAACGCCGACATCGAGCTACGAAAAGGCGAGACAGACGTGGGACGAAAGAACACACGAGTTCGACTGATCTTCAGAGTCCACATCCCACAACCCGGAGGAACCACAGTGTCTCTGCAGGCTGCTTCTCACCCAATCGAGTGCTGTAAGATATACACACACACACACCCGCACACGCACACACACACACACACGCACACACACACACACACACACACGCACACACAACGCGACATATTTTGGCTCCTCTCGGGTCCTGCCGCTTCGCAATTTCCTGTCAACAATTAAGGATTATTAAGTTAAGTTAGAGTGCCTCGGACCTTTTCCTCAGTGTTTTATTTTTGTTTAAATGTGCAAAAGCATTAACTGACAGACCAAAAGCTATTAATTTTAGCTCATTTGTACGTTTATAAAAATGTCGTTCCTACACATTATTGAAAGTCTCGTATTGAGATATACATCGTATCAGCAGGATCTGAGAGACACCAGCCCTATCAGTCCACAATAGGGGTGGGAACCTAAGGGTACCTCACGATACGATACGATACACGATACAAAGCTGACAATAACAATATTATCACAATAACAATATCAGGATAACAATTTTATCACGACATGACGATTATTGATATATTGGTCAGAAATATACAATATGCCAATTTATGGCATAAATAAAAGAAAAAATACACTTTATTTCATGATAAATGGAATGGAGATGCGTAATGTAGCCATATATTAAGTATTGATACCAATCCTGTTATCAGTACTACTGTATTATTACATATCTGATAATTCTCCCATTCAAGTCACTTTACCTGTTGATATTATTTCTGATGTTTATTCTGCTCCTATTCTCATATTCTCCGCTGCTAATGTATAATATAGACATCTGTAAATACTCCGAACCAAGTGCAATTATTGCCCAGAGTTTATCTCATTTTATTTTATTTTATTTTATCTTAAATTTATTGTCTATTATCTTAAATAATAGACTTTGATGTGTGCAATCTGAGTGCTCTGATTTCCTTTCTCTGCTGTAATGTGCAACGATGACACTGAAATTTCTCCACTGTGAGACTAATAAAGGTTTATCTTATCTTATCTTATCTTTAAAAAATAATTTGTAAAAAAAATATATATATATCGATATCGATACTTGGCAAATGCATATCGATAATCGAATCGCAGGAGAAAGTATCACACCCCTAGTCCACAATGAGGTTTGGTTTAAAACACCTCCTTATTGATGGCTGTAATGAGTGATCTAATGTAATGGTTTTTTTCTAACTGTGAGAAGAACCGCTTCTAGTCTCCACAGATATAACTTTTGTAATTTTGCGTATTGAAGTCACATGCATGTTCCCAATGTAAAAGTATAGTTTAATAATGACAAACTGTATACATATCCAGGAAACAACAACATATATATGAACTAAATGTAAAAAACCGAGGAATGCACACAAAATGTAACAAACCAGGTGCCGGAGTTGTAACAAATACTCACTTAGAGCAGCTTTTCAACCCTTTTCTGTGCAAAATCCAACGGTAATCCAGCCCTAAATTGGATTATTCAGGCTGGTTACTTTGATTGACAGAATTTTGGATTTATTCGGCCATCTAGGCTTCACACTTTTAAACCCAGGCTGCAGTAATTCCTCTAAATGTTTATGTTCTGTCTACTGCGGCCAAACTGCTGCTGGCCTTTCCAAAACTTGATACTACACAAACCTCATTAAAAGTAGAAATATTCAAATGAGTTGGTGGCTGGTACAAAGGTGCCTCTGTGCGGGAGCTTCGTGTTGTGTTTGGGAACATGGACACAGATGTACCCAGTGTTATTAAAGCGAGAGCCATAATCACTGATCAAACAAGAGCGTGTTTAACTACAATATAGAAGCTTATGCAAATACGAGCAAAGATGGGAGATTAAAAACGGGCTGAAAATACATATTGAATCATATAGGATTTTGATCAAAAGGAACGCTTTCTGAATTATATATTTCAATCACATTTGAATTAATCTTGTGCAGGGTTTTTTTTTTTTTTATATGGCAGAGACCTCCTTTTCGCAGTCGTAATAGAATTGTTGTCCATAAAATAACTTCAGCCAGTCGTATTGTACAGTATCCCTGCATTCATGAAAAGATTTTTAGATAAAACAGACATGTAACGACTCAAAAGTGAATCACTCAGGATCATGTGTTACATTCTTGAATCCTTTGGGGAGCTACTTGAAAGGGGGTGGCGAGCTACAGGTATCTCCCGAGCCACAGGTTGGAGTCTACAGTACATGGTTCAAATATGAGAATCATTTTAAAATCCGATGGTCCGGAGATGATTTATGTTATTATTGTCTCAGCTTGTCCCATTTCCCATTACATCTCAAGATATGATATAATTTCACTTGAATTGTTATTTATTTATTTATTTGGAACCTTTTTTGGTTCCAACCCCCGACACACACACAGAAAAAAATCACAATGACAGTCGTCGTTAATTTTTATCATTTTGAAAGACCTTCTAGGCACTCAAAGCACAATTTCTGTATGTGATGTCACAATACAGGCAAATTTGTAACAGAGGGAAATCTGTAGCTCATAGAAAGCAGGATTAATGAAAGCAGTATGCATTTCACATCCAGAAATGTTTTTGTGAAGAGGGAACAATGGTAATAGCTCAAAAAGGTCGACCAGAACTGTATATTGAATTTAAATTTTGCTGAGAAAACGTCATGAAGATTCAGATGCAGATGAATTTATTTGCCATTTGCAGTAAAACACATTACACATTTGCACATAGGATTACATTTGCAAAAGTCCCTAGTGTGCACAAGACAAGTACATGGTAAATAAAATAAGTCCAAATGAAAATAAATCATTCAACCTCTAAACCTCCGCACCTGCCCGCTTGTAATGAAGGCAGGATTTTGTCTTGCGAACTGCGCTGAAGTGGTTTGTGCAGCTGCTTGTGTTTGAAGAGTTGTGTCATGGTCTTTGCTTTACGGCTGATGGAGCAGGAGGAGTCAGGAACCAGTTCAAAGGTCCACTCTGCTTCAGCCACCGCCACGAGGACTGATCCACCCTGACAAGAGCATTAGAGCTGCTGTTTACCCAAGGCAATAGTAGAGTATGTGACGCTGTTCAGGACACATTCTTTTTGGAGCTTTTATTGTGGAGCGTGGAGTACGATAACAAAGCACTCGGATTGTCCAGTTTAATTAGATTGAGCAAGACGCATGTAAAACCAGACACGCAGATTGAAATGAGAAGAGTCCACATATTATTTGGAATTACTGGATTGAACTATTTTTACGCTGGCATGTAACCATGTAAAGCGGATACCACTAAGACAGAGAGAGCAGATTCATTTAAGAGCACAGGGAAAATAATAATACATTTTATGTCTAAGGTGCCTTTCTTGACACTCGCCGTACGTAAAAAGTGCATTTTAAAAACAGTTAAAATACATGTTATCTCTAAATCCATGATTATATTAGAATTGTATTTGAATACATATAGGCCTCTCATTTGGTTTGGTTATTTGCAGAATAAATGAAGACCATGTGTGAAAATAAAATACAAGTTGTGATTGTCAAAAGTGTGCTCATACAGTACACTAGATTGGAATTATATAACTGTTATGAAGTTTGTGCGAAGGCAAATGTATCTCATTATGATCAATCAGATCAAAGTGCCCCCCATGTGGACTGGTACTAGAGTGGTTAGACCAGTTTGGGAGCAACACCAAATAGATTCATATGTTTTTTCAACAAAGCATAGCACTGTGTATTCTTAAGATTTGTAAATATAGTCATTGTCCCCATTGTTTCAATATCAGAAGGTTTTAACTCTTGGCCACCCTTCCCCTCTACACAAATTGAATCTGCCCGTTATAGATTATAGATAGGAGAGTCATATGTTTCACTTTTACTATTGTATTGTGTCCAATTTAGTTCTGCAAATTTTTTAGTCCATTTTTAATTTATTACAACATCATGCTTACATTAATATGGTCGTGTTTGGAATGGCATTTTTTTTTTTCTACACACATTATTTCATGTTCCAAAACTTGAAGTACCAAAGCCAAGGTAAAAATATCATGTTTGAGATCCAAAATAAATACAAATGTGTGAAGTTGTTTTTCAAAGGGTTTATATTGCATCTTTGATTCCACAGCTCAGCGGTCGGCTCACGAGCTCCCACTAGTGGAGCGGCAGGACATTGACAGCTGCTGTGTGCTTGGGGGGCAGCAGATGATCGTCAGCGGACAAAACTTCAGCTCTGACTCCAAAGTCATCTTCTTGGAGAAAACACAAGGTCAGAGACAGATTTGACAAAAAAGTGTTTAATGGCTTTGTTCATGATTCTGTCATGGTGTGGATTTGTTGTCATTTTGTGCTTGTTTTTATTTTGACATTTGGTCTCAGTTGGTTTGGTTTTAGTTTTACTTCCTGTCCTGTTCCCCTGTGTTGATTGTCTGCCCCGAACTGATGTGTTTCACCCGCCTCTCTCTGTGTCCATATGTACCCTGTGCTACTCTTCTCTTGTCGGTCCATTGTATTGTGTCTGTCTTTGTCTGCCTACGTACCTGAGCTTCATTTGGATCAGGGTTAGGGTTAGGGTTAGGGTTTTACCTTTGACATATATATATATATATATATATTTTTTTAAATATTTTTAAAATCATTATTGTGTATTCCTACACTTTGAGTCCTCCTCCTTTCCACCACATGACAGATTCGTTAGTACAGGTGTCACTGTTTTCAACATTGTTTTGTTCATAATGAGAATAATTTGGGGTTGACCAATTTTCGCAGCTGTTATTGGCCAATTTCATGTTTTCCCAGATTTCTTCTATACAGTGGTCTGTTTGTTTGGTTAAATTAACATACTTCAGCAAAGTTAAGCGTTGCATAAACTTTGTATTACCGATACCTTTAACATCAATATTTTAACTTTTAGATTAAATTAATATTAGAAAGAAGAAGAAGAAGAAACTTTATTTATATAGCACCTTTCACAGATAAAATCACAAAGTGCTTCACAGGATCACAACAATACAAGTTACAGAGCAATATTAAAACAAATTAATTAAAACAATCACAGCCTTTTCAACTAAAAGCTCTTCCAAACAGCCATGTCTTCAGCTGTTTTTTAAACAGCTCTATATAGGGGTATATATAAGGGGTATTAGCTCTATATACCCCTTAGCTCTATATACCCCTTTAAATGATCGGTTTTGGCTCTGAAAAAACAATATCAGTGGAGCTCGATAAAGAATGCTCCACTTTGCACAGCAGACTTTTTTTCTTTGTCATGTTTTTGCCGCCTGGCTGCAGACTGGGCTCTGTGCGTGAGAGATTTGCATGATCTAATGATAAAGTGTGTGCTGTGACTTCCTTATAGTTTTTAATTTAACCAGAAGAGACCTATGTTTACTGACGTGCCATTCAGTTCTATGTAACCAAAAGTGATACATAGCATTTATTTAAAAACTTTTTCATATTTTTTCTCGACAAAATCTGCATGTCTAATATGATAAACAACAACAAATATGACATCTCCCTGCTGTTAATTCAGAGTGCAGTGTTGTTGCTGGTTTGGTCTTGGACAGGAGCGAGTAGGGAAACCCGCTTAGTTTTTTCCACATGCGTTCTCAATTATCCCAAAACAGGGCTTTCCCTCTCAGCGTGGGCCCTCTGACTCTATGCAAACAGCTGTTGGTGCCAAGATACAAAACCAAGTCACGTTTTTGAGCATGAGTGGAGAAATGGGCTCATACAAAATACACTATTACAGTTATGAGCTGAGCAGAGGGCGGGGAATGGGCTTTAACCAACTCTGCACAGTTTTTGCCTTTTCTTCCCACTCTGATTCATATTCAATGGTGTGAATAGTTTTTATACAATTGTGTCATTCTGATACAATTCTGTGATTGTGATTCTGAACATTAACAAGGCTTACAGTAAGAGAACGTACTTTTTCTTTAGAGGTAAGTGATGATGAATATGTGTTATGATGGTTGTTGTGAAGGTGTGAACGTTATTAGAATCAGAAACTAAGTAATAATAAAACTAGATGTATAGAGTACGTATAGATAAATATACATTGCTGATTTGCTACAATTTCTTTGATGATCATTTAACAGAAGCTGAAAATAAAATTTCTCAACACATATTTGTGCCAGCGTCTCCCACCCTGCTGCTGTGATCAGCCGTGAGTTGGCGGCTTCAGTGGAATCCCTCTCTCTGTTGCTGACTCATTCAGGACACATGTTTTTCATTTTCAGGGTTTCCCACCTACAGTAACCACCAAACACAGCTCTGTCTCTGTCACTGTGAGGATGTGGGGTCCACACTCCTCATGTTTCCACAGCAGCTGTGTGCAAGTGCAGCCTGCACATCTCACCATTTGTGATCCTTTGCCTTTCAATTGTATCATTGATTATTCTCTCTTGGTATATCCTTTGCTTCTTCTCCCAGCTATAAGGTTAGAGTCATAGCTAGTTTCTGGTGCCTACATTAGTTGTCTTGTATGCCAAAAAAGCGGGGTGTGGGTGGAGTAACGTAAATTTATTTTAAAATAGCAACTCAAGTAAAAGTTGTATTGAAAACAGAGATCTGTGGTCTGATTTTGGAAGTATCTATGAAATTTCAGCATTTGATCATTTGTGGATTAGCTGTCACGCATCAGTGGCTTTTTCCCGTTTGTTTTGCAAGTCTTGGGAACTCCAATATGTGTAACATTTCGAAGTGTATAAAAAAAGTGAAATTGAGTACATTTAAATGTTTTGTTTTTGCAGATGGTCAGCAGATCTGGGAGATGGAGGCCACAGTGGACAAGGACAAGAGTCAGCCAGTGAGTGATCAACAATTTATACTTTCGACCACGATGTGCAAAACAAAGCTGCTCTCATTTTGAATAGTACTGAAAAAACTGAAATACTTCTGTTTTTTCAGAGCATGCTTTTCGTGGAGGTGCCTTCATACAGGGACTCAAATGTGGTTCATCCGGTCAAAGTCAATTTCTATGTGATCAACGGCAAAAGAAAACGCAGCCAGCCGCAACATTTCACCTACACTCCGTTGCCATGTAAGATTGAGGAGTAATAGAAATCTGATAAATAACGTTACATACACCTCAGGGCTGTGTAAAAATGTTCCGTATTTAGCAATAGGCAGTTGTTAATGTATCTATTTGGTTTTTTTTCAGCTCCGTCCATTAAAAGTGAGCCTTTAGACGAGTATGAGAGCTTTGTGATGCCGCAGATGTTTTACCACAGCCAGAGAAGCGTCCTGAATCCAGACAACAGCCTGGTCTCCAACTTATGTTTAAGCTCAGGCCTCTCTCCACAGACAGAGGTGGGTCACAGCTTATGTTTACTCTTTTTACTGTTTGATTAATACATTTTAGGGCAGGATCTAGAGTTGTTGTGGAGTTTAGCCAATCACAGCATTATAGTTGGAGGCACAAACAAAACAAACACAGAGAAGCCGATGGCCGTACTTTAGCAAGAATACCATGAAAGCCAAGACACACCATGACACTTTGATAGGCCGCAAAAGAGATGCTTTCTTTATTTTCTATCGAGATGAGATTGCACAGGTCCCGATGGCACAATTATAACTTGTTGAGTAAAAAAATATGGTGTATGCAATTTTATAACAAGTATACAGACACCTGTTACTTGGTGACACAAACACATGTCTAGAGCTGCAGTGGGGGAAGAGTAAACCAAAGTAAACCAGCGCCATTCTATTGCAGCCTTTGTACAGTCTACTCCAAACTAATGAAACGTCATTATCCAGGTTTCTTTATTTTGATAATAGTCAATATTATTTGCCAAAGCGCAAACGACAGCTTCCTAGTAATTGACTGCACATGGTTCTTCATCCTCTAATTGAAAGCAACAGGACTTTATCTTATGAACCTGTTTTGTGTCTGTAGGAGGGGCGGTTCCAGCAGCAGAGTCCGGCCATAGTGTTCTCTCGTGGGGGCAAATCCCTGAGCTCTGGCCTTTACCAGCAGCAAACCTCCACAGTCATGTCCGACCCGCACCATCGCTCCGTTCTGGTGCACACTGGCTCACCTGCACAGCACCCCTCAATCATCCAGTTCTCTCCGACCAATCAGCAGCTTCTGCCCAGAGCAGACGAAGCCTTAGCCCCACCCACACATGACAACCAGCACGTAAGTTCAAAGGGGTATCTTTATAGCTGCAATAATGTCAAATTTTTTGACAGGATTCTGGCCTTTCTTTTGACCTGGTATACTGTAGATTGGGTGGCATGCAGTGCCATATGAAATTCATCTCCAAAACAGTTCTGAGCATTTCTGGTTTCAAAATGTTTCTAACATGTTTGAAATGACTTACACTAGATTTCCACAGCAACAGTAGATGGTAGTGTTTGTCGCGTTTTATCCATCAAACTACTTATTTCTATATTCAGCACAGTTCATAACACCATAGCCGACACAAATACACTGTGTCCCGTTACAGGTGTAACTTCTAATCCCTGAGTTTTGTCATCTGCTTTAGGTGGTGTATTGTGAAGGCTACTCTCCCCAGGCCCACTCGCCCTCACACCACCAATCTTACCCCTCTGTGATCCAGCAGCAGTTCACCCAGAAAAGCCCCTCTCCCCCGACGCCGCAGAAGGCACGCACTCCCCCCGACAATCCCCCAGACCATCCCACAGATCGACGAGTCACAGTCAAAGAGGAGAACCTGGACCAGGCTTACCTCGATGATGGTGAGTGTAAGTCAGAGTTTTGTTATTTCAACATTCACTTCACTTGTTCACTTACCTGAGGAATGATGTCATAGGGCAGGGGTCTCCAACCAATATCTCAGGAACAGCCAGTAGCTCGCCACCCATTTTCAAGTAGATCCTCAAAGAACTGAATAATTCCATTTCATTTAAAACACATTTTTAAAATGTTTGGTCTGTTTTTTATGCACTGATGAATGAAGTAGGTCTTGCGGTGGGCTCGAACCCATGACCTTCAAGCCCAAGGCCAATGCTCTACCAACTGAGCTACTGTCGCCCCAAGAATGTATACAGCAGCCGCGGCGCCAGGGGTAGACCTGGGTAGGCCGGTGCCTACCAGTTTTTTTCTTGGCCTACTCAAATTTGTTCTTCGCCTCTCAAGTCATTAGCCTTTTTTATTAAAAGTCATAATTTAAATATTGTTATTTTTAAACACAAATTATTGCTAATGCCTAAATATTGCGTTCTAATGTTTTAAGAAAATATAATCCCCTGAGCGTCATCACGTTCCTACGTTGCTTCAAATATAGTCCTGTTTATTGGCTGAACAATTTTGTCCAATATCATATCACACAGCGTGAAGCGAGAACAACCAGCTATTCCTCGTCTTAAAGATTGACAACGCTCTCAAAGCATTCACAACAGAGCAGCCTTTTTCATTTTAATTTTAAGACAGTTCAGCGTGAACTTTGTGAGGTAGAGTAGCCAGAGGCCCGGGCCCATAGGTCCCAGAGGAGGAGAGCGCGGTCAGGCCAGGCTGGCCTTGCACTGATGAGGTAAACTCTAGGCCTGTGTGAGACTCACTGTGGGCCTCATGTATGAAACCTGCGTACGGCCAAATCAGGGTAAATGAGGCGTACGCAAAATATTAAATTTTTCCGCATTTATCTATCTGGACGTGAGCGTACAATACGCAAAAAATATACGCCAGGTTTGGAGGTGGTGTAAATCTATACGCTGATCTCAACCTTCGGCAAAACACGCATGAAATTCAAGATATGGACAACAATAAACATATTCCCTCTGGCAAAATTATATGCTGTGTTTTCATTGAGGATCATGTTTCAAAATTTGAATTTGCGCATCAGAAAAAGTCTAATGGAAACACGCAAACTTCGAATAAATCACAGCTCATGATGAGGACCCTTTATTAAATCTGAGTGTGTGTGTATTATTTTGATCTGTATGTTTTTAAAATGTGAAGCGCTTTGTGATCCTGGACAGTCAAAGGCTCTATAAATACACTTTACGCAACAGGGATGTGTGATCCATCTATTGCTGTGGCAGGCTCTGCACTGCGTAATTACGCACGGCTATTTGTATTCCTCATTCACATCTGGTAAAGCAATGTGTTACTTCATTAGATTTGTGTAACCCTCACACAGACACACACCCCAATAACGCATCGATGGTATTGCTCACTCACAAATGTCTCACTGCCCTGTCCAGAGTGCGCAGCGAGTGCCGTGAGAGGTCGGCCACATGTGCAGAAGTTTTGGCTCCAGAGTTTCTTTGTGAAATCTGGACCGCAAACGCTCTCTGAAGTGTACAGCGCCTCAATGCGCACTTCTACCCCGAGCCAGGCTGCGTCCAAGACGCTGCAGACGCTTCATTCATGAGAGCCACCGCTGCATAATATATATGAATTAATGCATTCATTCAATCAATCTATATTTATTCACTTCTACAATTCAAGAAGGATTTTTCTAATGTATCAAAACATTTTGGCAAATTTGTTCAAAACGCAGCTGAATATATAGCGCATATTTATTATTACATAAACATGAACAAACAAACGTGCCTTTTGAGGCTTCCAAACAGTATTTTTGGCCGGCTTCCTGCTGACCTGTCACGAAGACGGGGCGTGAAACACGCGATTGCTGCATAATTCTAGGCGTGACTAAATACGTTCGTATTCAGCCGATTCATCAACACCCGCAGCTGCGTACGCTCAGAACTGGGCGGATCTCACATGTTCATAAATCCGACGTTGGATTTTGCGTAAATGGAATATACACCCAAAATGTACTTTTTCTACGCAAGTTTCATAAATGAGCTTGTGTGTATGTGCGCGCGTGAGTGCGTGTGCGTGCGTGTGTGCGTTTGAACCATATTCTTTGAAACCCCAATTCCAGCTAGCCCTTGTAGTTTGCAAGCGAATTTGGCCTACTTACTAATCTGCAGGCCTACCCAAAATTGCAAACCTGGCGCCGCTACTGGTATACAGTACATATATATATAGATTCTTAATTAATGCATTCATAAGAATAATTTCAGAAAAAGCTTTCTTTCACCTGTCTAAAGTTAGAGCTCACTGCCATTTATTCATTGAAAAAGTAGCTCTCTGGGGGGAAACGGCTGACGACCCCGGTCAGAGGGTCTAGCTTTTGTAGATACCAAATTGTTTTCCCAAAATAACAGATTTCACTTACAAAATCTTGCCAAACAGGGTCATACTATTCTGTAATGACATTCTTAACTTAAAATTAAAATAATTTCTTTAAAATTTTAGTTTAATAATTGTAAGTCACACTTCCTTCTGAAATCGATGGTGGGTCAAAATTATGGTGATTTATTTTTTGTCTCAGCATATTGTGATTGTGAACTTTATGTGAATGTGGCGTCACACATCCCATTGACTGCCATCATATTAACAGTTTGCACTAGAACCACAGCCCCCCACAGTTTGAACTCATATTCGCACAGATCTCCCATCCAAACACAACCAGATCTATGTTCAGACAGTGACATCAGGCGTTCTCAAGGTGTTATCTCCTTCACATCCAGTGCCATTTTCTTGTGTTCCTGGACTCGCGGTGATAAGCAGCTGAACTCAAACCTGACAGCTGCTTGTATGTAACCGATGATAAGACAGGTCAGACCGCTGCTTTTCTTAAGAACAATTCAAGGATATTTACTCTATCTCTTCCATCTCCTTCACACATATTTGCGTTACAATATGGCGTCCAGATCGTGCGCTGTTCAAACAATCTAGTCCGCGTTGGGTGCAGCTATGTTCCATTGGAATGGGAAATAACATGGGATTGTGAGTCATATGTTTATACTGGAGCTTGTCGACCTGTTAGCTTGCAGTAGTATTGATGTCGGGTCACTTCCAGCAGCCGCCCCGTCCCCTGCCCTGTGAGGCAAGGGGAAGCCAAACTATATCAACAAAATGTAAAGGAATTACTCAAGTGTAAAGCGTGTGGTCTTTGGTCGTGTCAGAGGAGTGGAATAGGCTTTTACACTTTAGAAGTTACAGAAATGCTCCATGTGGAATCTCTCCAATCTAGATAGAACTATGGAAAAGTAAATAAACTTTACTTTTATAGCTGACCCGGGTCACAAACCTAAACAATAGCTACAAATATTACACACATACATTAAAGACAACGGAAAACAAGCTTGATGAAGTTAAGTCATTCGCCTTTTTTCAATGTATCTTCTGAGTGCAATTAATTCTAACCGTGATCAACTTTTATTTTTATACATTTTAGTTATTCAGTTCAGTATTTATATAATGTTTCTCCCAAGCATTTGTATAAAAGAAGACAAAATAAAATAAGTCAGCGGGAATTTGCCGACCCAATGATACGTGCTCGTCAAATAAGACCAGAGAGTTTTGTTGAAAAAGTGGAGAGGGTGGTTCTTTCCTAAAATTTGGGAAAATCCTCCTATATACCTTTAATGTAAGCATACAGTTATTGGAAATGATGCCTGCAGAAAGGCACCGCTCCAGTTTGGAGACAACGAATCGATTTAACCATAAATTAAAGAAAAGATTAAGAAACAGATCAAACTAAATGAATGTATTATTACAGAACACATAATAAAAAGAATATAAGAATCATTGGTCTATACGATAAAGGGTTAATGTATCCTCCTTAGATCCAGATCAGTTAGTGCTGAAAAAGTATTAGTATAGATAGCTAAAATATTTGACTGGTTTTAAGGGTAAAAAAGAATAATGTTATTTGATTAATTGTTATACAACTTTTAATCATGACCCAAATATTAACTACATATTGTATTTACTTTTTTCTGTATTGGAGCAACAGTGTAGTTTAGCAAATCCTTTAAAGTTAATTTGTTCAGGAAATGACCTTTTAAAGTGAGAGAAAGTATCATTGGCCCGATAGCAGCATATTGACGTGTTGTGAAGTGTAAAACAACTTCCATAGCAACCATTGTCCATGGACCGACTGAGCGTGGGGAAGCCTGGATTTGTTATGGTTGGCGGGGCTGCTCCTTGGCCTTAAGCCCCTCCACTTCTCCAGGGGAACCCACCGGAGGATTAGCCCTTTTTCCGACCACAAAATCCTGCCAATTTACAGTATCTGGCAACACAGAATCCTATTTGCAGCTGCTCTGCTCCTGAAAGTCTGCAAGACGCCACGCACTGTAAAATAAAGGCTCGCACATTTTAGCACTGTTTTCAAATGCTTTTTTACACAAGATTTCCTGCCTAAATATCAAGTCAACATGAAACCAAAAAACAAGACTATTAGGGGTACAATACATGTTTGAGTAATCTTCATTCTCCTGTAGGTGATTCTTCCGTTCTTAGCTGATTTGTAATTCCTTTATGGATCATGCTTTCAAACGGGTTATAGCTGCTATGTCAGAACTCTGTTGTGATGACGTTTACGGTGAAGGGACAAACAATAAATACAGAAAAAAGAGTATAACTAGCTGCGATACACATACTATCACAAGTTCACAATGCATGCTATAATGATATTGGACCTTTGTTGATCTTTGTTAAAGCCTAATCTACACAAACTGACCCTGAATCCAAACAGTGGGGTAGAGTTACAAACATTATTGATATTTGGGCGTTTTGGTGCATGCCTACATGTGTCATAGATTACAACTAGCAGAAAAAGCAGGAATAAGCACTATACATTCTTACATTTATTTGGAGTCATTTCCTTTTTGCAGTGCACAGACGAGGGAGAAAAAGGAAGGGGCCGAGTGCATGT